CCTTTCTTAGTCAGAATTTAATACATTGCATATTCATAAAGAGGAATTTAAATTTGCTAATACTGCAAAAATTGAATATATTAACTGCTGCAAAATGAAGCCTTCAGTATTTTAAGGGAAGTGAGGACATACAGCTGTTCACATACAGCTTCAGGAGCCAGAGGAAGATTCTTTTTAGATTCAGGGGGAAAGAGACAGATAAAAATCAGGAAGGGGAGAGATGGCGGGTCGTAATGGAAAGTAGTATTTACCTCAGAAGACATGAGAATTAGGCTCTCAGCTGGTAAAAACAGCTCAGCTGAGCTTTGACAGAATCTTTAAAATTTGCATTAGTTGAAGATCCAAGACAAAGACCTTATTAATTCACATTTCTCTCTTACAGTGATAAGCCATCAAGAGAAATCATTCATCTATTCAGCACGGATAAGATTCAAATGAGTACAAGAATACAGCTACACAATCAATTTATCCAAGTTCAATTGCTGTTTTCAGCCATAGTAAATCCAAGGTACCAAGATACCAGTTCACTTTATCCTCCCTGCTAAGTGGTCATGCATTTTAAATCTATTGTACCAAAAAGCAGCAGCAGCAATTCAGGAAGTCACAGTAACTTCTGCAACTAAGCTGCGAGTTCAGACAACTTTTAGTAACATTTCATTTTTGAGTGTCTTTCACCTTAGACCCCACTGCAGATGATCTGCCAATAGGAGACAGAAGATCAGATGAATTAGCAGTATAAATGCTGAAGCGCACCTAACACTGTGCCTGGTCACACAAAACATTAACAGGAGTCTCCTTGTGAAGGCTAATGCCCCACTTAGCTTCACTGACAAACGAGGATGGCCACACCACTCCACATGCTAGATTTGTCTTCAAGTCACCTTGTGACAACAGCCACCATTAGTTTGTTCAGTAAAAGAATTCAGAGACCTCATTTTTTCAGCCTGAGGTAACCTTCATGAACCACCCTCCGAAAGGAAGCATCAGCCTAATGTCCTGTGACTTGTGTGCTTCAGCAAATGCAGATAAATCTATTCGAAGTGCATGTCTCCCTTAGGCAGAAGGGGCACTTACTGTCCCTGTTCTTTAGAGGGAGATACATATTACTTTATATGCTCTTGAGGCTTGCAGGTTGTGAATGCATCATTAGAGCAGGAAGCCCTGTGTAATACGGGGATGTAGGACACGGAGAACGGAGTTCAGCAGAATTCAGATCAGAAACAACCTATCAACAACGGCAGCTGGAAACCAGCGATTCCTGAATGTTTTACTAATGGCTGTAATTTCTTTGAAACTTAAAAGTCAGGCACATGCCATGTTCTCTCACTTGTAACAGATGCTAAGAATGATCTCAGAAAGGGTTACACAGCCAGTCTGGCATACGTGTGGTTACTAAAATGGATCAGGTCTCACTTGCAGAAAGCAGATAGGCACTTGCGAGACATTCTACAGCAACACTGCTCAGAAGGATGTGCTACACTATTTAGCAAGTGACTACCATGTTTTAAATTAAGTGTCAGAGAGAAATCACTATTTCTTCAATGAAATGGAATCTTAAAAGCTTTTAATTTCCAATACAGGCATTTCCCACACTATTTTTAGGAAAACATCTTAGATACTATCACCATCACCTGTGATTTTATTCAGTGCAGTATCAAACAACTCAGAAAGGTCCTGAAAGCAACTGAAGTACTCATTTGTAGACCTCAACTACCACTGCTGACTTTAAAAGCAGTGCATTCTCCATCTCCATCAGCTACTAAAGTTGTGCTAACGTGACATAGCATTTTGAAAATAAGGTGTAAGAGACCCAATTGCACATCAATTACACCCAGGTCTTCTCAGACTCTGTTCTGGGATGTAAACCCACATATACTTGGGCAGCAAACCCTAAAAATCCAGACTAAAAAAATGCAATGTTTTCCTCTAAACTCACTTTTAGTTCTCTCTAAATGTATCTGTGGTGTTCCCTAGCACAACATTTTATGAATGTGGACAGAAAAAACAACAATCAAGATGTAAAAATACTTGGTTTTGGATTGAACTTTAAAAATTGTAATAAAAGTGACAGAAGTGTCATATACAGCTTCAGTATAACTATTTCCAAACCCTTTTTCAGTAACAGTAATAAATGTCACTTTCGAATGTCTGAGTATACTAAGGAGGGCTTTTAATATTCAATACATTCTATAAAGACATAACCCAAGATTGCATTTCCTCTGAAAGGCTTCACTAGCCTATGAGCTACTGCATTAAGACTGAAAATGGCACAAGACTCTCCATAGTTTACTTCATACAAGTAATAACAGAGGGTAACATCATTTCATAACTACTTGTTCAAAACCATAGGCCTGGTAGAATAACTACAACCGGAATAGAGACATCTTTTCTCAGCAGTAAGATTTTAACATGGCTCTGCCCGCTTTGCCTCTTTGGAGGAGAAAAAAATAAAATTTAATAACACTTTGCTTAAGAAGTCTTTGAGATAAGGATTTCCTCTCTCCTACCAACGGTGACATGGGTAAAATTTCAAACAAGAGGTAACTTAATTCTAGCAATTACACCATTTCACTCTCGCACAGTAAAATGCGCTAGGTCTGGTGGGTAGTACAGAAGAAGGGTCATATTTGATAACCTGTGGCTCCATTGAGCGTGCGTGGCTCTGGCAGTTTTCAGTGATAGCTATCCATTATGTAGAGGACAGCATGAAACCCTTTGGGAAAACGGGTAATCATGAATATAACACTTCACATCTGCTTTTAATTTAAATTTATTTATTTTACACTCAGCCTTCATACAGTAGCAAGAAGAGAACAGTCAAAAAGCTACTGCAAAAAAAATCAAACCAGATGCTGACTTGGCAGAGTTTTTCATTAATTTCCATATACTCTAACAAATATTAAGTTCTAAGCTCACTAAACTAATTGCAGTATCTCACTGAAGTCTTTACCTAAACTGGAAACAGAGCAGTGAGAAATCTGTAAAAATTCTGTGAATTCTAGAAAAAAATCCTGGACAAAAAAATGTCAACATAAAAATTGTATTTTCTATTTACTGACCCGTTCAGCAGCTGTTTTGTCATCACTGAAGACATAGCCATTAAGAAGAAATTTACACTTACCTGAACCAGAATTCTTGGCCTCTGAGGGGATGGAAAAGGAACTTTATGCATGAAATGGGAAATGTGTCTAGAGGAAAAGAAAAATACTGATTTAATAGAACTTATAAGCTTAAGCTGCTTTACCTCAAGACAAAATTATTGCCAGTAAGAGAAATTAATATATAAAAATGGCACATACTTATTCAGAAGACAGTAAAAAAAATATTCCCCCAAATCTTACAAGGATATTCTGACCTTGAAAACCTATTTTTCTTATAGTGACAACCCAAACGGCAGGCAGATCATCCTTCAGACTATGAGCTTGGTTTGTGAGGCTGAAAAATTACAAGAAGCCTTTTTTCCCCCTAATTTGGAAAGTAGAATTATTGGTGTTTGGGTAGCACAACACCATCTTACAATCACGCTTCTGAGGCTGGCTTCAAATAGCGCTGTACCTCAGAGACTAGCACTGGTTATCGGCAAAAACATTCACAGCTGAGTATCAGGGAGACTCATTAAGTTCAGCCACTTTCTTCACTTCCAAATACAAAATGGTATACAAGATTTTTGTTAAAGTTATTTTCATATACTACAAATATACAAATTTAAAAAATCTGTAATTTCTCAGTTTTATAAATGTATTAAATTCACAAAAGTTCTAGATAATACACATTATCTCATTAAAAGAAACTACACGCAACCAACAGAAATTCAGGGAGAAACAAACAGATATCAACAGCTCCTTGGATACAAGGATTTCCTCTGCGTTTTAAAATGTGAAATCCTTTGTGTAAGAAAGAATTTAAGTTTATTTAACACAAACAGAGGAGGATTACTAGTGCAAAAAAATCAATCCACTTTATTATCTTTCATTACACAACAAACAGACATTTTAAAAAATGAAAAACTTCGTATTTCATTCTCCTAACTTAATGTATGCAATAATAAGACAGGATTTCTAATCTTTTTCCTCCTAATCACTATTGCAAATGGTGCAAAGCTAATTTAAAAAGGCTTTTAGAGATACTTTTGTAGACACTTTAACAAATAAAAATCTCGGCTTTTTCAGGAAGCAGGTAAAGATACATTTAATCAACGGAGTAAAGTGCTTCATCCAGTGTAACCAGTATATTTAATGTTTGGTGATTAAATTCAAAAGGATGTTATAGGAAACTTAGAAGTGAAATTACTGTTAGGAATGTCTGAAATTACTTACTTCTCAATAGGTAGGACATGTGGACCAGAAATGGAGTAGCGATACAGAAAGGTAAGGAACTTCTTGAAAGCATCGAAGAAAGGCCAGTGAGAGAGCAGACAGATGCATTTATTTGTTTGAACTGTTCTGCACGCGTCTGCCTTCCCCTCAACAGCAGCTGCTAATCCCAGTTGCGATTTCTGTTTCTCTGTGAGATGCTCTTCAGGATACAGTTCATAAAACTGAATAGCAGCACCGTATACCTGCAAACAGCATAGTTGATTTGAAGTCAATAGATCTGCCTCAGTCTTCAAAGCAATCTAACAAACCCCAAACATGCCACGAAAATCAAGTCTGTGTTACTGTTTGAAAAGTTACATTAATGCACCACCTTTTGAAGCAATCTATTCCAGAATATTTTTATGGCTGTGAAAATCCAGACTGTCTGTTATTTATGTAAAACACTTAACGTCATAGGAGAAAGAGTAATTTATGAAAGTATTTAAGTGCGAGAAAAATAATGATTATACAGAGTACAACTACAGTCAACTGCTCCTCCAAAGCTATTTTAGGAATCCTTTATAAGCAACTCAAAGCAGTATTCCTCTGACATCCAATTTACTTTTTAGAACAAGTATATGCATGGAAGGTTGTTTCCATGCTCGCAATCAAAATAATACACTTGCATGTATATGCACCCAGAACTTTTCTAGGTCTGTAGTTTCAAAGGGTAATATGATTGGAAAGCAAAGGAGTTCAGGTTTATATGATCAGCAGTCCAGCAGTGAAATAAATGCAAGCCACACTTTAAAGCAGCCTTTGAATTAAACCCAAATGAATAGATTCAAGTTTGTCTGTGAAAATATGCGTTACCATCATCCTGAAAAGATAAACAACCAATTTTTTTTAACTTAACTTATTAACAATGATTTTTTTTAAGCTTTCAAAATACCTTTTCTGCAGAAGCTCCAGTTAGGACGAACGTAGAAAAAACTGGGAGAGGGTATTTGCTGTTTGATGGCCAACATTCAATCGTTGCACCCATAGGTAGACAGAAGAGAGGCACAGATTCTGGTAATGGGAATGATTCGTAATCTTCTTGGGGATATCTACATATTAAACCTACGAAGGCAATTTGCAAAGAGGCAATAGTGTAAGGAACAGCAGAAACGTATCTTTAATAGCTCACTTCAAGTAAAAAATGCCCAGAAAAATCGTAAGAGAGCATACGCTAACTTCAGAAGACCAGGAAAGTTGTAAAAAAGCAGGCATAGTGAAGGGCTGTAAAGGGGCAGTGCTCTTCCAAGATCTGAGGAGAAAACACCCGACTAAAACACGGGACTGAAGTCCTACTTACTATCTAGGAATTAATTTCTCTTTTTCTGTTTGCATGTTGCGTGCATCTCAGCTATTATCATAACAGTGCACATTCATCACTAGTACCAGTAAAGATTTAAGATTTAGTTGAAAAAACGGTAACCTGAAGAACTGAGAAATAAGACTGATGTTTTCAATTATGAACACAATTCTTGCCAACAAAAGTTTCCTGAAAAATCTGATAATGTGAGATACTAGATAATTTTTAAAATATCAACAGAATCAAACCAATTAATTATGCTGATCGACCTCAGCTGAGGATTCCACTAATGTGCTATCAGACTAATGTGTTTAGACTTAAACACAGCTGTAAAACACAAAGTTCTGAGGCAGAGGCTCTTAACATAGAGGCCTTCCATCCCATCATACTGCTGGAGCAATCCACCCTTTCTTATTGCCAACCTGGGGACTCCAAACTAAGAGTGAATATTGCATGAAGGGATTTGGGATTTTGCTGCAATAGAAAGCACAATCATTACACATTCTTTTCTAATATACTGTGAAATATTAATAAGCAATAAAAACTGGTAAACAACAAAGGTAATGGGTTCCCCCCCCACAAGAAGCAAAATTTTGTGCAAGCAACTACCAGATGTGGAGCCTTTACAATTTTTTCTTTATTTGCATGTTTGGTGTCCGCCTTTTAGTCCTAAACTACTCTTGTTTACAGAGAGCAGCACCTCAAAGGGATTTAAGTGCATTAAAGCTTAAGTCTGAATCATGCTCGTGACTTGCAAATAAAGTCAGGGGTTAAAAAAAGAAACCCAACACATTTCATCAGAGCCATAGCAAATCCAATTGTGTCTTATAAATGAAACAACAAAATAAGTATGATGCACAATCCAAAAATACTTAAAAAGCTCAATGCCAGTGATGTTCAGGGCAGTGTGGCAGACTGCAGTATTCTTCAAAATTTTGCTTAAAGTTATCATGAAAATGCACCAAATGATTTTGTGATATTTGCTTCTGCACCTATACATACACATACATCCTTAAGAGGCAGTTACCAGCAGCAAACCAGGTGGAGACACACAGGTTTGTACAGACCTACCAAAACACAACCGAGCTTTCAATTAAAAGCAAATTTTAAAACAAAAGGGTCATGATACATAATGCAAAGGTTTATTTTAGGATACTATTTTAAACCAATTCTTCAAGGAAAGATTCCTTTTGGATAATGCCAAGACAGCATCTTTGTCAAATAATTCTTCGATGGAAAAAAATGCATTACAATTATATTACAAATAAGCCTGTACATCCTGAATGAAGATTAAAAAAAGCTAAATAGTAGTTACGTACCTGCTTTATATGATATGGTGTTGGTTTTTGCCACAGACTTTTTGTAACATAAATATACTGCTGAGCCCCACTGTAAAACAAAAGAAGCTGTTGGATTACATGACAAAGCACAACAAAAGGATGTAACAGAAAAGAGTGGAGGAAAACCTCGTCTTCCTTGTTTAGAAGAAACCATAATGAGCACACAAAACCACAGAGCATTAAGATACAGGAATTTTGGGCCTGCTACACCGTTCTTTCTGACAACCAACTTTCTTTAATAGCCACAAACAAATACTGAAAGATAAATACTGCTAGCTCTGAGCTAACCAGTCCAAGTTGACCTCTAAAGCAGACCTGGTTTATAGACTAAAGCATGAGATCTAGAAATTCTTCTCCAAAATATTCATTAACACAACTACAGAATTTTGAGTTGTCATCCATATAAATATTTAAACCTTTTTCCTTTTTGTTAAACTTCTGGCTTAAATGTGTATGTAGACAGATATACATACATATACACATTTATGCATACACACACACAGAGCTCAATATTTCTGTTATTAACTACATTTGTATATTACTTTAAGTCAATACTTAATTTTCTTTTGTGCCTGCATTTTTATTTTAATTACGCTAATCTTTAAGCCCGATTCACAGACTGAAATCACAGATGGAATAAAGCAACACTGGAGCATAATGTCATTGTTTTTGCAGCTTCTAAACAACAATTTCCTTTCTGGCATCATTAATGTTTTTAAATATTTCTGAAGTTTTCCACTTCTGGACATGAGAATAAAGAACACGGGAAGCCACAGAATGGAAAAGACCAGCGCCCTTTAAGGGCACACAAAGATTTTAGGGATGGGAGAAAGAAATTCCATTACACAGCACTCCCACAACCTGGTCAATACAGGAACCGGTAGAATTGAAAAATCCATGTGTTAATGTCTACAGGCATTTATTTAAAAACCAGTCCAGATCAATTCCCATTATGTTTTTTGCATGATACTCCTCGCATACGTGGTCAGCATCCTCATCAGCATGCTGACTTTTGGGGACCCTATGAAAGATTCAACCAGGAGACACCTACACATTAAATTCTGCAAAATAAAGTGCTGAGATGCCTGTGTATTTTAGCAGGTCTAGTATGGGAACCACATTAAGCATTTAAACAGGCTTACAGTCACCAGCACCCAACATCGCTCACATGCAACACTCTTAAGGGAAAAAGTCTGTAAAACTACTGAGGAGAATGACACTTAAAAATCAGCATTATAGGTAGTGGAAGAGTTTAAAAACAATCCAGAAAGTGGTTATTAGATACAGAATTTCCATCACAACATTAAAATCAGTGTCAGAAACTGCCTCGCCTGTAAAACCTCCAGTTATACAGATGGAGACACAACAGGTTCTAAGGACTAATCCAAAGCTGAAGTCAGCATTTCTACATCAGCACTAAAAAGACTATTAGCTAAAAGACTTGCAAAAAGACTTTGTTCCAAGCAGGAACAAAGAAATGTAATCCTCCAACTCTTCCAAGATTTGATTTATCTTTGGAGAGCGCTTATCAAAATTTGTCACCAGTTACTCTGAGAACCATCACAAACACTCCACAAACACCACACCACTGCATGTCAAGCGTTCAAAATCCAGATTTTGAATCTTACCATACTGTTATTAAGATTCTTGTCAACCTTGCAGAATGTATGTGGAGGGGTTTCTCCTTTACTGGGTATGATTATACATATATCTGTAACAGCCAGCGTGTTTTGTGTCATGTTTTCGGATGCTCTTCGGTAAGTGATGTACACTCTCTGTGATGAGGCACTGCCACTAATATTAGCAGGCCGGCCATATGGAGTAGTTTGGATTATTTCACAACCTTGCTTTACTCTTTCTTTCCCATCATATAAAACCCTAGATAAAATGGGATGAACAAAAGTTAGAAGGCACATTTTTTTAACACTTTGAACATTAATACCAATATATACACTAATAAAAGAATTCTAAGTGAACACTACCAGTCTAACAGCAGCTCTTGCCTCAATCTGTCTTTTTACTGACAAGTTAGGGTCACATTATATAAAACTGCATTCTAACAGAAAAACGTTGTGATGAAACTATACTAGTTTTCCTCACATATAACTGCTTTTAAGTGTTTTGTTCGCTGCAAAATAGTGTTATTTTCAATTCTAAGATTTATTGCCTGATCCTAAGAATGTCATACCGCTCGCCTCTTTTCAATCTGTATTAAATACGTTAAGCATCTTATCTCAACCAAAACATATACACTGAAAATTATAAATGGCTTTGAAAACTCCAAAATGCAAAGGATTACACTCGTCACTAAAATCCACTCAGCGTGCATTTTTCCTACCATACTGGGTTACAGCATGCTCAAGTCAAGAAATGGCTTCCTGCTCAGAGTTCTGCCTTAGAGTAAAACGTATGGTAGTTCAATAAACCCCATCAGTCAAACAGAACTGCCAAAATCACTTACTGGAATAGAAAAATCACTCACCCCAAATCAGTAAGAGGGGGCTTATCCCTTCCTCGGCGATAACAAAGGTATATTTGCGGTCCTACAAGACTGCCATTATTAAGATCCGCAGACAATCCTGAGGGAGTAACATCTATGCATTTATAACCCTGAGGAACCTCCTCCCCCAGAGATTTATTAATTACTGTTACATCTGTAATAGGTTCTTTTGGTTTAGCGATTTTATGGCAAGCATCATTGAAGTGGATTTCTTCCTCTAGTGGTTTTGAAATATCTGTTAAACCTGCGACAACAAAGTAGTCAGCAACACGAGCCCCTTTGTCTTCCATCTTCCATTACAAGACGTTATAACTGGTGAGAAAAAACCAGATATCAGTATTTTTTAAAGGAAATTATAAAAGATATTAGCAATAATAAATCATGTTTATTTTTAAAACAAAAATATTTGCAATAATACAATAATAGTATTTGGTGTATAGTCTATTGCTGCACTCTACTCACCATGAGAATGGCTCTTCTAAGGCACAACCTGCAATTAACTTTCTTCCTGAACGTTAAACATACACACCAAGGCTGTCTTGATTATTCTAAAGATACAACTATAATACTTGCAGCCATCCCACCCTGTGGGATTTTACATCAGATACCAAGGGTTGATCTTGGAGTAGGCTAGAAGTTCATACCATTCTATTTTACAGTGTTTTAAGGCTCAGATCCTTGATACACAACCCATCCATAGCCAGCAACATACCAGCTTTTATACAAGACATTTAAACCAACTCAACTCTAATGGACTACAGACCACTGCGAAACTAAAACATTCAAAACATGAAGATTTTCATAATGAAAAGGAATACAGTCTTGCTGTTCCAGGCAAATTGTGTCGGGAAATTACATTCTTTCTTTCTGGAACATACTGATAAAAAGATTCTTGATATATGAATTCTTTCTGTATAGTTTTGGGGGGTTTTTTTTTGCAGTGTTTGCTACCAATGTTGCAAGTAAACCTCACTGCAGGACAAAGTATTACCTGCAGGATGAAAAGATGGCCTGGCAAACAATGCAGCGGTCAGAGACTCTTGAATATCTTTGCAAGTCACTTAAACGCCACGTCTTATTTAATAGCTTGATTTTGCAAATAAAGAAAATACTTTTCGCTCTTTCATGGAACATGGAGAAACAGGCTAAAAATGTTTATCTGAGTCATCCATATGTGCTGGAACCTCGCTAAAGAAGCGTCAGGAAGTTTGTTGCCATCAAGCTCCAGACTTTTTAAACCAGACAGGCTATTAGAGACTCCCTTTTGTTGAACTGATTTTGTTTGGGTGTAAAATTTTATTATACGAGAAACAGTTACAACACAGGAGTTTCAAGAGCTTGCTAACATTCAGAAACTCAACACAAAGAATTTAAAATAATCTGAATGGTTGGTACAAGACTTTTCGTGACTTTTCTAGGTTGTTTGTATTTTGCTGGAGTAGCTGACTTGGGTAAGGAAATTAAAAACATTTTTTTAATTTAAGGTTATTTACATTATTCAAGAAAATGCCAAGAAAAACCCACAAACTATCCAACCTGTCTGTCTTTCTATATGGTTAATAAGCTCTATGGGACACTTACTGGGAAGCTATCATCAATATATAGCAATGTAACAGTTTGTAAATAACTGTGCAGCTTGTTTTCCGAGAGAAGAGAGAATGCAGTTACAAAACTAGGCTTAATTTAACCTAAATTCAGTTATTTCAAAAACATCTGGAATATCTTACTCAATTAGCAGCATATGAGAGCAATAACTACAAAGTCAAGCTTCTCCTTGACTGATATATGCAAAGACACAAATTCAACCACTGCATATGCTGCCTATTATTTCACTGTGCATCTGGCTTCAGCAAATCCAGAACAAATGCATGAAGAAATAAAGAATTTTCATTAAGCATCCTTAAACTCTAACATAAGACCAAACACTAACATCTTCTAGCTAGTATGACTGAAGCTCTAAACATTTTGTAACATGAATGGTTCTCTATAAAACTTAACTATGGTATCCTATGATTAAAACTTTCTACCTTTACCAACCAGCACTCACTCTAAACCAACAGATAAACCATAACTTTTTTTTTTAAAGCTACAATACACTGGGACAGCATTCACTCTTAAGTTAAAAATATATATATACACACACATATCAGAGTATAAGCAGTTGCTTTTAAAAAGTATCACTGGAAAATGGATCAAGAAATGTAGAAAGAAAAAAATAGTATTTAATAACCTAGATCAGAAAAGAGCTATGGTCAAAGACTTACCAGAAGATAGAGGGGGCTACACACACACACACACATATATATATCAATGTCTTGATATATATGAGTTGGCTAAGGAAAAGCTACCAACCAAGCAATTTAAACTCAATGCTTTCCATATCATGAGCTCTGGTAAAAAGTTTTCTGTTAGAAGACTTTAAAAGAGAAAAGTTAGACTGAAAGCTGGCCAGGTTTTGCACTGATGTGTATGAAAACTGCCCTGTAATCATGGGCTCAGTACATACCAGCAGAAATACTACAAAACTGAACTCTGCCTTAAAAATGCAGTTAGAAAAATATTTTGTTTTGTTCCTTTTCTCATTAGCATTATTTCACAAAACTACACCAATTTCTGGAGTGCTTCACAATGCCTTTTAAGTTGAAAACAATATTTCAGTAATCAAAAATTATACAAACTATGACTGTTAAAACTGCAAGTAAGCCTGATGACTTCAGTGCATTAACAGCACACTATTCCATTTTAATTAGCCAAGACAGCATTACAAATAAACAGATACATATATACATGATACTGAAGAATCACACTCATCTCACAATTTAAGCCCTACTATTAATTATTCCATATTAAGCTTATACCGAAAGACTTAAATTCAAACACTCATTTATTCCCAAAAGCACTTTCAAGGAAAACTGGGACAAGCTCTCCTCATTTAGAGCCAGTTAAAATTAGAATCCCCTACATGCAAACACCTGCTATCACATAAATTCGCTTCCCAAGCAAGTAATACACAAGTCTTTCATAATTTAATGCAACTTTTATAGAAGGGAGGAAAAGAAGAAAAAAAAAAAAAGACCTAGTTGATGATACATCATCCCTTCAGATCTCTTTGGCTTTGGATACAAAGGCTTGCAGCTAAAAATGGGCTAAAATGCAGAAGATATCCAAATAATTCGGTGGTATTTTATTCAATCTGACTTAGACTTTACTAGAGCTACTGTGATACACAAATTTTCAACATCTGTTTACTGTGAAAGCACATTTATGCAACCTGCATGTTAACAGACTCCAGAAAGAAGGTACATAATGCGAGCTAATTCAGCAACAAATAATCATCCTGTGAAAAGCAATTTCACGTAAACTGGCAAATCTGAATAACTTCTGTAGAAACTCTCACCTTGAAGCTATTCCAGAGCACATTATAATTACACACATCGCACCAAACCATCGAAAAACCAACCCACGACAGAAAAAGTGACGCCACACAAGCGACTTGTAAGAACCTATTAAAACCACACACAGACTTTGCAGATCATGGCTGTATAAATGTGGGAGAAGAGAGCTTTTTGCTATTTCTAAAAATATAGGAACAGGGGGAAACAATCAGCTAATCCTGCCACAGATCCACAAACAACTTGTTTCATTACTTTGCTAAAAGACAAAGGGTAAACTCAGCTTCGGTGTTTACTCAATTTAATTTTTAATATAATTGTATTTCTTTATAAACGTTTAGGAAATACTGATTAATAATTTTCACTGTCACTGCTTTTGTAATTCATAGGCACTGGCATTTAAGCAACCGTGCAAAAGAGATTAATCTGAAAAATTAGCTTTGTGCTCTAAAACTATAGATCTATTGCTAGTGTTAAAAGAGAACCAGCCTGCTGCGAAGTACAAAACAATCTGCTATTACAAGAAAGATGATCAGGGGGTTTACAGGAGTTCTATGTGACTGACCCTTTTGTGATAAATAAAATAGCGGTAGGACTTTGATCTCACCACTTTATTCAGAAAGAGTAGCACATACACCAACTTATTTTGCTTCCACCATAGTTTTTTTTTCTATTTGCTATAAGCTATCCACAACTCTCATATAGAAAGCAAACAAAAACTGAAGGGTATGATTTTATACCAGGTCACGTATTTTCAGATAGAACAGGTAAATCAGTGTCCAAGCTTTTTGAACTGATCACATTTTTCATTCTAATGCTATAGGAGGGAAGAACACATCAGCTTTTTCCCCATCATGTGTCCAGCACCAATGCAGATGTACCATATATTCCATCTGTACAGCAGCAACAGGAATGATGCCTCATGAAGTAGTTTACTATACATCCACTATACCACTTCCATGGAAAAAATACCAATTCATACAACCTGCTCCTCCCCACAAACTTTTGCAGAGGTAACTTGTAAGCAGGCTGCAGACCAGAACTGCTCTAGCAGTGCCAGCTTCTTTCCAGCAGCCAGCTTTCCCAGATAGTAAAAAGGATTTATGTGCATGCTTTTCGCGTGTGCAGGAGATAAGTGACCTGTGCTGGACAGCAAACAGTAAGGACCATCCGACTCCAACAGGACAGTTTTACCAGTCTGCCTCTGGCAGACAAATACAACGGCCTTGTAATCTTTTAATCATCCTTGTCTTCATTCCCTGCATTTTCCTATGAGAATATTAAATCATGCATTAATTTGAGTTCGTTATTAGGTCTATTTGCTCCCTAAAGCAGGTGACACTTCGTTAGCCTGACTCCAAAGAGATGTTCTGTTTGTAAACAAGGAACCAATGTCTCCTACTGTAGGTTGGAAACCAGTGTAGGGCTCTGCCACACACCTTTTTAAAAACAGTTCAAAGCTTTATTAAAAACTGTGATTTATTTTTAAAGCGTTCGTCATATAATCACATTCCAAGAATTTCCTCCCTTTGAAGAGTAGAGGAACAGAAAAAGAAACCAATGATCAATTTTTCAAAAATTGCCAGTAAAGTTCTAAGAGCATTTCAGCCTCCTATGTGTACTGCTGAAGTATGCTGCCAGCACACAAACACGGAGGCCAGTCATGCAAGAGCAAAATGAAGTTAACTGGATCAGTCAGTCCTGCTACAGCTACTCCGAACCATTTCTCAGCCATGACACTGCACAAATCACATGAGAGCTCAACAGCGTCAAGAACATGTGAATAACTGCAGTTACACGGGGAAAAACCTTCATCCCAGCCCTGTACTTCCAAAGTTGCCTGGCAAAAGCAGAGAAGCCTTTTCACCTCAGTGTTTTCTTCACAGCAAGCAAATAATCCTAGAAACAAAGCAGCA